TTAGCCCAAAGTGATCCGAGCTCAGATGATTTATTACATATTTATCATATACATCATTGTGACAGAATACATTATCTATACTTCATCCATTACACACTCAAACTGATCGAAATCACCTGAGGGGGGGCCGGTATACGCATACTATAATATACTGTTGACTCTCAACGCAGGATAATTCAATAGAACGTTCGACAGAGTGTGCCACTATATCCTGTCGATTTTTACAGACTATATCAGTTCTAACTAATACAAGAGAGCCACCGCAAATAGCATTTACTCTTACGAACGAACTTAACAATTTATAATTTTCTATATTAACAATATTACAGTGCTTATGTAACCATGTCTTTGTGAAGCAGATGACATGTATATTAAATTTCCTAAGGAACAATTCAATTTCGGGTTCTTTGCCGCCTAAGCCTTGTATATTTTGATGCACAATATTTAATTTGAGTGGCCTAGGCGTTGTCTCAATGTTTAGTTTAAACTGACATAGTTTGCTGAAAGATTATTACATAATAAAATATTCTTAGTTGTACTATGTACAACTGGGTTTTGTATATTATATGCTATTAGAGTAGCAATTAGTTTCTTATAATATAGTGGCAAATACAAAGTATTTTTTGTCACCTTAAAACTAGATTTAATAAAATTATTTAAGTCAAAATAAAAGAAAGCGTCACTATGACGGTGAGTTATGTTATATATAGTCATGTTAAGACTATATATGTATTTATTTTGTTCCTCTGAAAGGAAAGAGGAATATGGAAATGAGCATAATATAAATTTGCACTTAGTTTTATAATGTAAGTTGAGTAATATTTCCATATTATTAACAATTTCCTGTTTCCTTACAGATGAACTATCCCCATGAAGTAGTACAATAGTACTATTCCCATTTAAATTTAATGTCAATAATTTGTTAATATTGTTATGAAAACTGGCACCTGGTGAACATATATTATACACATTATTTACATGTTTGGAAAGTAAAGAACCAAAACCTTGTCCTATATTATCCGATACAATTATAACTTTATGTTTATTATTGGAGATATTGGATGATTTGACAACTGAATGTAATTTATTTTCAAATTTATTATATGATGGCTGATTGCGTTTTTTTCTGTATGACCAGGTCACTTCCCATGTCTGCAGATATATTCTGAGTGTTTAATTTATTTGGAGATTCTGTGTTGGAGCAACAACATGTATTTTTGCTAGTAAATGATTCAAATCTGTTATAATTATAACTACAAAGATCTAATAAATTATCAGCTGCTAGAATATGTTCCTGTATTTGTTTTTGAGATGATTCATATTTAGCAGTTAATATTTGTAATGTGCTATTTAAGTTATTAATTTCAGTTTGAAGCTGAAGTGTTACCCGGCCAAACTCAGACCTACTTTGTTCCAATTTATTTTGATACATTTTTACTAACTTACATAACTTTGACCGTTCATTTTTTATTTCATAAATTTCTTTGAATCTATTTCTTAATAATTTATTTGTTAACTTTAATGTATCTTTTAAGCTTATTGTGTGAAAAGCAAGATTGCTTGATACAAGAGTCATCTTTTGTCAAGTCAAGGCGCCAAGCATTGCTTCAAATGCTAAGAAAACAATGTAGAAGAATGCGTTAAGATTTTCGTCGGTGTGGTAATCAGCCGTTTAGCTCAGTGGCTAGAGCGTCAGGCCGCGAATGCCGAAGACGTGGGTTCGATTCCCACAGCGGCGACAATCTTTTCGCACTTTTTCTACATATTTTAACGGGTAGATAGAGTCAACTAAACTTGCCTATTAAAATTAAATAGCACTATCTATAGATCGAAAATATCGGACACTTAGAAACAATTTAGCCGGTCAATCACTACTTTTTACGGCGAAGTCCGTTTATATATAAGCAATAACATAGATATTAAAATTTGTAGTAAAACGATGAAATGTTTCTCGCCGCGCTGGGAACTCAATCCAAGAACAATTATAAATATCGTTTTATAATTGTTTGTCTGCGGTAAGAGATAACAGTAGATGCGCCAAGTAAATAAAACAATGTACATAAAGGCGTTTAGATTTTCGTCGGTTAGCCAATTAGCTTAGTGGTAAAAACATCTGCCCGAATCAGGTAGACGTGGGTTCGATTCCCACAGCGGGAACCGTCCTTTTTTTTGCCAGTGATCAAAGAATTCCGAACGAAAATTGCCAGTAAAAATGTTTGCAATATCAAATTCGACTGGGCTTAATTAGCTAACTGGCCATATTAATTACCGAATTAATGTACGTGGGTTTTTAAGACAAATTTGGTTGTAAAATTTACATAGCTTTGAGTATATGTATAATTTTTGCGCTTAAAATGTTTTAAGACTTTGTGTTGAATATTTTTCCAAGTTGTTTATGTAAGTAGATAGACAATAAGAATACATTACGCCACTACTTTTCTAATTAAATTTGAGTCGAACCTCTGGTGAAGCTATAGTTATTGTCATTCATACCTCGAACTAAGCTGGACGTAAGATAATTCGATTTGTATTCTTAATGTTTTAAAAAATGCAGGGAAGTATAGATATAATATATAAATAAGATATAATATATAAACTAGAACAAAGTTGACCTAAAAAGTGATTAACAACGTGTAGTTCTTTCCGGGGCGTGCCTTATCGCTGCACTTATTGCAGCCTGTGCGACCTCTACATTCAGACTGTGGGGTAACAGTACATCTATGTAATGATTGCCACAATATAAACCAAAGTTTATACATACGTAGAATCTATTTTCCGGAATTTTCACTTGCTCTTTCACACTCATTTCTATTACACAGGAATGTTTAGGAATCAGACCGATTTTTTTATTTATATTTTTTAAGTTATAATTGCAAAAATGATTATTCATAATTAGCAGAAGCTCTGAGTAAAAAATATTAATTAAGGAGACTATATATTACTCATTATTCATGTGAATGTTTTAAATAAAGTAGTGTCTTTGACTATTTAATTAACCTTTAATCTTGCGGGTGCGTTTGTGGCACCTATGGCATGATATTCAGTTAGCGTAGCGCGAAAAGACGACCTATTTGGAGTTAATAACAAAGTTTGTGTGTATTTAGCATTCTCTGCCTACACCGTATTTTGAAATATCGCCAGTTTTATTGTAAACAGGGCAGTTATATACATAGTTGTGTGTGAGCGGAATGTGGACACGATCCAATTAGCCGTGGGCCCGGGAAGGCCCTGCGCCGGAGGTAGACTGTCGGGCCCTCCCGTCATTTCCGCCAATGGCTAAACTCCGCCACGTGTCACACCGCATCTCTAGTTGGCTACATCAGTTGGCCCTTTGCATTGAATAACAATTGTTATTCTATGTTTCTATAGAACTATTATTGAAACATTATCGGCTGAAACTGAAAGTGACATATACCTACAAATTGAAGTCATCGCACAGGACGACTCATGCAAGAATATTTACCGATAAACATACTTTCAAAATTATTTCATGAATATGATGAATGACGAATAATAATTTCATAGTTCATAATTTTTAAGACGGTTGAACAAATACTTGTATACAACTTTTACGGTTAATAAAAATGTTATCCTTACTTATGTTTGAATGCGAAAGTGTGTTCGTCTTTCTTTCGTGTAGCAACGCAGCAACGGATCGGCTTAATTTTTTTTTTCATATAGTTTATGGACCGGAAAGTGAGCGTAATTCTGCGATTAAAAACGTACACTGATGACTATTAAATCAAATCCACGCGAGTGAAGACACGGCGGTAAATTGTATTCTATAATATTATCTGTTGCCATAACTTCGCTATAGATACTAATTAAATAATTGGTGAACAACTGTTTTATTGTTTGGCCATTTATGAAACCTTTTTATTAGTTACCTCTTATCAAATTAGCCTTTCTCGTTTGTCCAAGAATTTTAAATTTCTTAATTTTTTTTTTGCCGCTGCGGGAATCCAACCTCCGAGTTGCGGATTTGCGCCCAGGAGCTTTAACCACTTAATGGCTAATTGCCACACCGATCAAATCAACCGAAATCTCAACGTATTTTGTCTACATTGTCTTTTTCGCACTTTATGCAGTAATTGGCATTTATTGTTATCTTCTTTACAGCAGAAAAACAATTACAAATATCGTTTCACAATGATAATTCGACGAGAGAGGTCGCCATTGCTATTAGAAATTTAAATTTTTATAATGGTAACATAACATTTAAAAAAAATGGTGGGTTTTTTTAGGTATCCTGCGGCGCCGAAAACCTTTTTCTCAATTTTATCTACAAAATTTAATGTCTCATCTTAAGTGCAGAGAATAGCACTATAAAAATTAAAAAAAAAACCTTCTGAATTCCAGCTGAATGCCAAATTGACAATACCTATATATTACCCTGCTTAGGCCGTCATGTAAAATTGAAATCGCACGGTTGAATCCATAAAAATAGTACAGGAATACTATTTGATTCATACCTCAGACTAAGTATCTATTCTTTCGCGAAACTGGCTGGTTATGTTTTCAATCAGTATCTCGTTCACTTGACATGTTCACTCTACGAATTCGGGTCGTCTGTATTCAAGTCGACACTCGGCGACGTGTCAAGTGGAAGCGGGAGCTTTGTCGACAATGTTACCATATTTCCTTTTTCACCAAAAATGGGATGACACGGAGCACACAGCTTCACGGATTTAATACTATGTGCTGCAGTGCTATATCGCTTCATAACCTTTGGGACTGTAATTGGTACAGATTTACTTTCCCGCTCTGCGTGCTAAATTATAATAGTGTAGATAAAGGTCCCAATGGACCTCCAATATTCAACGCGTCTATATGTATGTTTTCCACAGAGTTATCTGGTGCAAGCAGGTGACATACTAAATTACATTCTTTCATCTATATGAGTCTTTTTAATTGAAACTCGCAACTTTACATCGCTCGACCGGCTTCCAAGTCGCTAGACCGTAGGATGACATTGTAAGAAAGTTGCTCGCCGCCGGCAGGGTGGGCAAGCTGAACCTGGTGGACCTCGCGGGCAGCGAGAGGCAGCGCAAGACTGGCGCCTCCGCCGAGAGGCTGCGGGAGGCGTCGCGAATCAACCAGGCGCTCTCGTCGCTAGGCAACGTCATCTCCGCACTCGCCGAGAACAGCCCACACGTGCCATACAGGTAGGCGTAATAATACTCTATACTCTATACTCTATACTCCTATATTTACTATGACAGGATGACTCTCGAACAACAGTCGAACTACGTATTAATTAATCAACGACCAGCGAAACGTGCTTATGTTTTCTAATTGGTGTTGACGGAAAAAATTAAAGGCACTCAAAGAATCTATTAGCAACGTAAACGTATAATGATGTGATTCATCGATCTTGCACTTGATGCACGACACCAAACGCATAAGGAAAATAATTTGCCATTTTTCAAAATGCCACAGTGATAGTAAACAGATCAATCTACGAGTAATTAAAAGCCGTCTAGCTTTCGCTCTGTTGCCGCGCATTTTGTAAATAAATAATGTGTTAAAAAAAGGGTTTAATCTAATATCTTTTCAACTGTAGGTGCGATGTAAATTTTCAATAACTAAAACGAAATAATGACATTTCATTTTTTTTAGAATAATCTTCTCTAAAATCTATTTTATGAAGAGATTTTTGCACTGGAATGCATTTTTGGGAATATTATGTTGATTCAATAAAATAATATTAGTAAAATACTTAAAAATAAATACTAGAACTTCTTAGAATTTATTTTTCTGTACTAAAAATATGAGTAATACTAGAGGAGATTTATTCCTCCACAATACAATAATGAAGTGATCAATCCTGTACTGATTAAAGTATGGATTGACTCGTGCAATATAAACTTGCACCCTATTCGTGTTTTTTAGTTTTTTTTTTGTGCAATTACTATTGAGTTCAATATCAAAATGTTCATTTTTATATATCAATTGGTTTATTTATAATTAAATTATTTAATATTAGAGCGTGCTAAATGTCAGACAATTTAACAATGCACGTTTGGTTTTGCGTATCACTACTGATTCTTGAAGAAGGGGGAGAATCAGGTATGTTGGAATGCAGTTTTTGTACGCTTGCGATAAATGCACCATTGCGTGGCCTATACATATTTATATACTATGTACGTTATATAACGCTGGGTAATTTGTCGAACACGTCCTTTGAGTGGTCGCATTAAATTTGGCTTTGACGATATCAATAGTACATATTCGTTCACGTTTAACCGAACGTGTCGAGTGGATCCCGAAAGAAACGCAACAGCTTTTATCAGCCGCTGGGTAGTGTGAATGCGCGACACGGCTCGCAACGTTGCTCCTCCCCCGCAGGGACTCGAAGCTGACGCGCATCCTGCAGGACTCGCTGGGCGGCAACAGCAAGACCATCATGATCGCCAACATCGGCCCCGCCGCGTACAACTACGACGAGACCATCACCACGCTGCGGTACGCGCACCGCGCCAAAGGTACAACCCCTTCACGCTGCCAAGAGACGTGCTTTTACCGCGTGAAATAATGATAATAAATGAATGAACATTAGGGGATGTTCTTTTACGCAACGCCATGTAGTACAAAAGCAAGGCTTGTGCTATGGTTACTAAGTAACTAATAAACATTCTTAAATATACTTTTCTATTATAAATAAATGCATATTATAGATAGATATATCTAAAACAAACCCCGGAAAAACACCATATGCTTCGCCTAGCAGTGGGGTGGGACATTACATTAGTTTTAGAGAGCTAGTTGTCCCGCGTGGGAATGCGTGGGAATGCGTGGGAATGCGTGGGAATGAAAGCCACGGTGGGCCGTAATCGTGTCGCGGTGCGTTCGCAGCCATCAAGAACAAGCCGGTGCGCAACGAGGACCCGAAGGACGCGAAGCTGCGCGAGTACCAGGCGGAGATCGAGCGGCTCAGGGCGCTCATCGAGCAGCGGCGCCCCAGGAGAGCGCCCCGCCACAGGCCCGCGCTCCAGCAGGACGACGGTGCGGCACGCCTATGCTGTGGCTGTGTGCTCTTTACTTCTGTTGCACATTTGGACACCTTTGGAAAAGCCACCCTGTACAAGATGGCAAAAAGATTATCACATTTGAATTTTAATTGAAAAGAAACAAGAATTTTTTCGTAAAAATAAAAAAAAATCATGCAATAGATGCGAATTACAACACTCTTATAAGTTATAATAAGTAGGCATATAGATTACATAATTCACTGAACATTTAGAAACGGCACCATTCCAAACAGTACATGTGAACAGTAAAATACTGGTGTGATGAACGAGTGCAGTTTCATCGCGTCGACATCTTTATATATATATATATATATATATATATATATAAATTACATGTCACGTTGTTTGTCCGCAATATTATTTTACTGCAAATTATTTGTTTAATACATGACAAAGAGTTATAATTGTCCGTGAGTTCCATAACATTTTAACAGATGGCGGTGTGAGGTAAATTTATTGGCTGGATTGACTGAATATTTAATAGATGGCGCTATGTTAAAAGTCGAAACGTATGAACCTGGTAGATTTAGCGCAGACGAAGTTGCGCGGGTTCTACATAAATTATGATCTATAATTATCATCGACACCCTTATTCCACGTAGTGAGGTCAGCACAACATGTAAATCATGTTGTAAGCGGTTTTAGCTATGTTTTTTATGATCTGTCGCCTGCCTAACATCAACCCTTCTTGGGAATCAAACACCTAGATCCGGAACAATTATCTGTGAGTCGTACAACTACTTGTCCCGTGTGGAAATTGAACCCACGACCCTCGCTCGATACCGAAGCCAATAGTTTGGCAACGTCATCGTTGAGATCTATAATATGAAATATAAATTAAATTTTCAGCGGAGGAAGACACGGTCAGCATCGAGCATGAGCACATATTGGCGGAGTCGACGATAGAACAGGAGAAGTGCAAGACCGAGGAGTTGGAGCAGCTGATCCGGTCGCTGGAGGACCGGCTGGTGCAGGGCGGCGGCGGGAAGGACTTGATCAACGACCTAAACGAGAGCCAGATCATACTGGAGCAGAGGAACACGGAGATCGCCGAGAGGAAGAAGAGGGAGGTGGAGATGCAGCAGAAGATAGACCTCGAGGAGGAGACCACCGCCATCGTCACCAACACCTTCGCGACACTGCAGCAGGAGGTCGACCATAAAACGCAGAGGTCGGTGTCGCTCGCGCTGCTCTTGCTACTATTATGGTTATCTAAAAACCTGTAGGACAAGATTATATTTGTGTCTTGGGTTTCGGTTTTTTTTTTCTATGAACTGAAAGTTCTACTATTTTTGCAAATGTCAATATGCGTCAATATGTGTTGTTCTCTCCCATTACAATGACCTTTTTATGCCATGTGCTGTTCAATACTAAGAATGTGCGGCGGGCGGCGTAGGTTGAAGAAGTGCCTGTCGAAGTACGCGTGCCTGCGCGAGGAGATGGTGGAGCAGCGCGAGGCGCACGACGCGGAGCGGCGCGAGCACGAGGCGCTGCAGGCGGCGCTGCTGGCCGAGCTGCGGCGGCGGCTGCTGCTGGCCGACGGCTTCGTGCCCGAGGCGGGCCGGCGCCAGGTGCTGCGTCTGCGCTACAGCGAGGACGCCGACGCCTGGGAGCTGCCGCGCCACGCCGGCGCAGAGCCCCTCCCGGAGAGGCCGCGCGCGCAGGGCCGCCGCCGCCCCGCCTGTCTGCTGGCGCTCGCGCCCGACGCGCCGCCCCGCCGCCGCCACGACGACCTGCTGCGCCTGCGCCCGCTGCCGCTGCCGCCCACGGCGCGCCGCGAAGCGCCCCCCCCGCCGCCCGCGCCCGCGCCCCCCCCCCCCGCCCCCGCCGCCCCCGCCCCCGCCGCGAGGGCGCCCCCGCGCCGTGCCGCGCCCCGCCCCCGCCCCGGCACGGCGCACACGCGCCTCGGCGCCTTGGGCACGGCCGGCGTGCGCTGAGCCGGGCCGTTTGTGCGGCGCAGGACGTAGCTCCTGGCCCAACACCCGGAGGACGGCTCCGCCTGCAATCCGTCGCGCCTTGCGGGCCGCGAGCCGCTCCCCTAGTCTCACCGCCGAATGCAAATCGAAACAACCTATATCGAACGAATTCATTGTTTACGTTTGTAAAACAGATTTATAATTTATATAAAAAGCGTCTTAGATTCGAGACCGCCCGGCGAGCACAGAGGTCGCACCGCCTCTCGGCCGAACGCTTCCAGACTGTTCTTAGATATATTCATATATGTACGGACAGAATGCTAATGATATTTAACTACTAAAATTACGATATATTGAATTACTAGGTTAGCGTTTATGTTAGAGCTACACCTTCGGCCGAGACGCGGTGTTCCAGCCTCGTCGAACGCCGTCCGTGTAAATATTCTGTGTAATGTTAAAACAATTTTAACGCAATAGAGTAAGGTGGTCACAAATGCCAGTGAATCGCCGAAGACGGTGTTATTGATCTCAATCGTTCCAATTCTTATTATTAGCGGAAGCAATGTCTTTTGTATTACTATTAATTTGTTGCCTTCTTCTACCAAGCATATGTCGCGAAGTACTGACATCTACATCGACAAATCCATTTCCACATTATTTTACGAAGTCAAATTATAAATTGAACCATGTATTAGAATTCGCTAGATGAACTATCTTACGAAACTCGTAGGTAATGTAATGTACTAGATTTATCGAAGTATATTTATTATAGTATCGAGAAATTCACGTTAACTATTTGTTAATAGCAAACCAAGTAATAACGGTCAAAGTCTGCTCAGTATGATTAATGGAGACTGTGCTTGGTTTTCAAAAGAGGAGCGACGCTCGCGTTCACTCTCCGATTATTTTATTATATGTACACGTAATAATGTTTTATAACCGAATTTTTGTTTTAGTCAATTTAGGTTGTCGTTTGTTTTGTACGGATTTTATTTTACCATTGTTGTTTTTAGTAAATTTTATTTTGGCTTCGATCGCTTTGGACGTGTTGAAGCAAGTGATATTAGATAATTTGTTGTAGTTGTAGAGGTAAATGTCACTCATGATAAATTGTATGGCTCTTCGTCGAAGAATAACTATGATAGTCGGATTGGGTGTAGTTAGGGTAGATAATTTTTCAATAAATTTTCGCAAAAGAAACTGAACGCTTTAAAAAACAATTATGGTTACCCTATGTGTATGTCAAACTGTTTATAACCGGTATCCTTTCAAATGAAAGTAAATGTCTCTGGCGATATATTGGCGAGGTTTGCATTTGCAGCCCTAGCTACGCCCAGGCAGTGTTTGAGACGCTGTGGTCCAAATTGCGTCCAAACATGATCACGAGTCTAAGTAAGCGAGTTACCAAAGATGGAAACAGTCCATTCCATTCGTCTTGAGCGTAAAATCGATCATGTTCCTCATGTGAAAAAACATTATTGGATCTATTTATTATGTCCAGACACGGTTTCTAGTCAACGGTTCTGTAAACAGGCGTGTAAATATTATTGTAGGTATTTAAAAAGTATATAAGGTAATAGATAGTGTAGTCTAACGTTCGCACAATACTTTTTGAATACCACGAAATCGCTGCCGGAGCATTGTGTCGCAGTTCGCGTTTAATTGTACCTTATTTATTTTGTATATTGAATAGTAAATCTAAATGTCCTAATTCCAAGCCAATTGGTGTATATTAAAGTTTTCATATAAGTAATTTGTATTAAACGAATAAATTGGCTTTATGTTTAAATTGTATAAATAAATGATGTGATAATATGTATGGAAACCGCTAGTCAGCTGTGCCGCGTACACGCTTCTACTCACCAATAAAACATTTTTAATTTTATTCTCATTTCATTTTATCGTCCTGAATATTGTCCTATCCAAACTAGTAGTCGCCCAGTGATTGAAATTCGACCATAATTAATTATACATGGTAGCGTAAGAGGGTGTGGGTTCGATCCCCACTATTGAAAAAATATTGTGCGGGGAACATAGAGATTTCAGGGTCTGGTTGTTTATACATCTATAATATATATATAGTAAATACATTACTTACAAAAGAAAAATATGTTTATGTATGTTTATCAGTTTTTCTAGTACCCAGATTTCAAGCGCTGCTTAGTTTGACACTACAGAACGTAAACGTGTGTAAAAATTTCCAAAAAATATTATCTTATGATGCCCAGTGCTAATCTCTGCACTTAAGATGAAACATTTAAATTTGTAGAAAAAAAGTATTTCTTTTCTCTACAAATTAATGTCTTATCTGTATAATCAACATTTCATATTGTTTATTTATTGCCATTTTCCTTCATCAAAGACAGGGATTCTAGCCCTACGTATAAACTGATTCTAGTAGGAATCAATTCAATTCATGTTATTACATCCCTATCTATATAAGTTTGCGGGCCAATTGGTCAATATGAATTCTAGCGACGTAGAAAGAGGGAATGGGGGGGGCGCTTTTTTCTCTATGCACCGGGGCCCTTGTCCACGTACCTGCGACATTGCTGAAAACTGATAACAACCTGCAAACTGTCTGCAATACTTCCATAGCTGCCGATCTGGGTATTATAAAGAGACAAACAAGATCCTAAACACATACTAATGTGAACGCTACTTCTGTAAAATGATAAACATAACATAAAAATATCATTAAAATAGAACAAGGGAACTGTGTAATCAGCGACATTAAAGGAAAAGGAAACAAGCAAACAGGCTATACGTCTAAACACGGAAAATTTTATAAAGAAATTTTGTCGAGGATAAACACATCTATGAAAAGGAGATAAAGAAAACATTGTTTTAGATTTAAAAAGGCTAAAAGTAAAAAATAATATCGATATTATTGCAAAAAAAATTAGTCTTTACCAAAAACTATCCATACTAATATCGATGATTTGGTACTATCAATAGCCTTTTACTGGCTATCGATAGGATTTGTCAAAAACTAATGGAAATGCAATACTATCGATGGATCTACAAGTGCCAATAGTATCGATGCTAGTTAGTTTTTGACAAACACTATCGATAATATCGATGATTTTGTACTATCAATAGCCACTATACGGTATAATAGATACTATCAAATGAATGGCTATAGTACAATCGATAATCAGTTTACGAGACGAGGTCAACTTTCGATAGTCAAACTATCATCGACGATTGGACTTAGAAGTTTGGCAAATGGATATATTACATATTAACGCAAGATTGATCCTCGAAGAGATCAATTTGCGTATTTCAAAAATAGAAACGCAAAAGTATAATACTTTTATCACTTCACGACAAATAAAATTCTGATTTGCTATATACAAACCAACATGCAGTAAAACGATAGCGCGTATTAAAATGAGACACCGCCATCTGTTGTCACTTTGTAATATCTTTTCTTCATTTTGTCTCCTAATAATATTCTACAGCTGTTTCAACGGCACTCACTTTCTTGTTTCTAATTTGAAGAATTGTCTTGGTAGAGAAAGACAAAGTAATAAAATAAAAGAATGTTCATTAAACTTAACTTGTAAAACTAAGCTTGAATGTGAATGTGGGCTCTCTTTCATATGTCAAACTAAATCTATTCTTCTTCTATCATTTTCTGTCATTGTCTGTACAGGGATTTGGGGACCTTTATCAACGCAGTAGAACCCAACATAATGATTTTTAAAAGTCTGTTAAATGTTTCTATTAGTCTGTGCCTTGTGGACGCTAATCTCAGAACGGCTTAACCGATTTGGGTTCAACTTTCACTAATGCATTGTAGTAAGTTCACTTAACATTTATTATAAGTTATATTTAAATCGGTTCTGAATAAAAAAAGTTATATCAACTTAAAAAATCACATTGAAGATTTGTGCGATAAAATGCTATATAATAACTACAGGTGAATTGGATGAAACTATATTTAACTATATATTATAGTGTGGAAAATTATGATAATTGTGAGTTTATACAAAGTTCAAAAAAGCGAGCCAAGTGCGACTCGGTCTTGCAAACGAAGAGTTCTTTGCTATATATATAATTATATAGTACCTGGAGGACCGAGCTTTGCTCGGTTTGTTTTTTTTTGGTAAATCGTGTATTTTGGAAATTACATTTAGATACAAATTACTAAGTAATGAAATATGCATAATATTATGTTTCGATCTTACCAACGTAATAATAAGAAAATATGAGCTGGTGTTTTTCACAAAAGAAAGAACTTAAAAAAAAGGGAAAAAAATAACAAAATAACAAATCGACAAAAATTAAAAGATAAAGAAAACAATGATCTGGAATCGAATAAAAAGTAAAAAAAATAAGTGTGTAAATGATCGTGATACGAACCACGGCCTTCTGTTTCGTGGCTGTTTGTTAGCGGCCGCCCGATTACCGACCGAGCTATTATAACATTTTTTTTTTTCGGTGAAATTTATCGTCGTATTCGAATAATATTTTTCATTCCCTGAAAACTGGGATAAAACGACATTTTCTAAAAATGAAACCTAGTCAGATCGATTTTTCGCCCCCGAATCTACGCACATACTAAATTTCATGAAAATCGCTGGATCCGTTTCCGAGATTCCAATTATATATATATATATATATATATATATATATATACAAAAATTGCTCGTTTAAAGGATAAGAAAGATATAAAATTATTTCTGTTGTATGTAAATTTAAACTGTCTTACTGTCACGGTTCATAAGATACCTGGTGACAGACAGCGAGACAGACAGCGGAGTCTTAGTAACAGGGTCCAGTTTTACGCTTTGTGAACGGAACCCGCAACAGTTGAAATTAAAGTTTTGAAACTATCACTACATAGTAGTCTCGCTGTCTGTCTGTTCCTATGTATGCTTAGATAATTAAAACTACGCAACGGATCTTGATGCGGATTTCTTTCTAGATAGAGTAATTCAAGAGGAAGGTATAAACCTTAAACCTACATATAAATGTATATTTACATTGCAGCCGTGCGAAACTGGGGCGGGTCGCTAATAATATTATAAAATTGAAGATTTGGTTTGTTTGAACTCGCTAATCTCAGGGACCAATGGTCCGATTTGAAAAATTCTTGCACTGTTAGATAGCCCATTTATTGAGAAAGGTTATTAAGGCTTTTTAAGCACGATATAAAATGTAGTACATGCGGGCGCAGCCGCGGGCGTTAAGCTACCAAGCATTAAAAACCCGCGTGAAGGACATATAGCTGACTCAGAACATAATAGATTAAATAAGTCTGCAGTCATCCATTTTATCAGGTTTGATAGACAAGATCCTTGCAAAAGAACTCCGATTCCTTCCAAGGGTGATTCGGGAGGCTACTGAAATTAAAAAACACCTTAATTTCAATAGAGAAGAGAGTTCGGTGCAACCATCAGCTTAGGATTCTAATATCAATAAAATTAAATCTAGGCTCAAACGAACTACTACTGCAAGACAAGATAAAATTCTGCGTAGATCGGATGCAAAATTAATTATTGAGAAACTGACGGTAGTCTAGGTTAATTATTCATAGTAGACATTCAAATGTCCAACGCCTCAGTCTGTCTCTGAAAGTAGCGGTTATATTCTCTTTGTCTGTCCCGTGACCCTGAACGTTGTAAGGGTTTAGAAATGTCGGAAAGTAAAATAAAAATATAAAATATAAAAAAATATTTTTCTTTTGGTGGCGCTCCAGGGGAACATTCACCTCTGTAACTAATAATCAATAAAAAAAGATACTATCGAAAACTAGAGGCAATACGCGATAAACGTGTGTTGTGCTGCAATTATTTAGCGAAAACATTATCTTCAATAACTTCCACGTTAAATATGAGAAGTTTATTGTAAAAGTTTTACTCTTTTAAAATAACAATACACTTTTCAATGCCACTGAAAAGTGTATTGTTATTTTAAAAGATTCAATCACTAGGATATATTATACTATGAACAAAATATCGTACATTATATAGTGTTAAAGTTTAAAGTTAAAGTTTTAAACAAAAAAGAACCGACTTAAAAAAAACTCTATTAGCACTAAAAACTTCACAATGAATCCAATATAATCAAATCTTGAAAATCTAACCTATGTAACCTAATCTACCTTACCTAGCCAAACCGAGATTCTCTGATTTCAGCATAAAATCATTCTCATAATTTTGTTACACAATTAGGTGGATTCAATACAATTAAATACAGATAAATATATTTTAACCATGTAATATATAACTGCAGTGTTGATTGTTGTGCTTAGCTTCTTTCTATTTTTTTAGCAAGGTTTGATGGTGTGCAACCATATTACACGTGTGTACAATGGCACTGACTCCAAAACACTAGGTAACTCCAAAACTCTAGCAACTGTATTGTTATCGGCATACTATCCTTTTGAAGTCGGTTAAAAACTGTGTTTTTATCAACAAATATACTTTCACCGTGGCTATAAGCCGTTGAGTTCAAAATGTTGCAATCAATTACGCTACCTCCTAATATAGGGTACTGTACATGTAACATTTACCGCCATCTAGTAGTAAATAGAAAAATTAAAAATATATTATTTCGGCGACAGAGGGCAGTACTCGACAATAAAAACAATGTCGAAATCTTCATCAAGAAATTGTGCGGGATGTACAAAACTACTTCCAATAACGAATATTTGCGGTGTTTTGTCTGCAAATCGTCATACGACTTGGAATGCTTGGACCAGCAGACGTGTCAATTCATTTTACGCGTCAAAAAACGCTCACCCAATCTTCATGGAAATGCCCTGCATGTTGAGTAATCAGCCTAAAAGAGAAAACGTAACTTTGTTTTTTATAATTATGTTTAACCGTTTCTAGATTTTCTTTAAATTTTTTAATTTCTCTTTTTTTGTTATTCTAAGTGGTGCAAATAGTGTTTACCGTTCGTGTGCTGACACTAAATTGTGGAAATCATTAACTTCCCCCATAGGACAGCCTGCGCCTAGTATGGGGGCTAGTATTGTATCAATTGTAAACCTATATATATATATATATTAATAAATAATATTTTCATTTTCAAATACACCGATACGACAGACTGTACTCTGCAATGAAGAAACCTGTGATTGTTATCCCCAAACTCCATATATTAGTACCTAAAACGTGACACAGCGTTCAGCATTAAATAAAGAATGTACTTACGATGAACTATTTTTTTTTATGTGAAGAAGTGGCAAGCGAGCTGGCGGTTCACCTGATGTTAAGTGATAACTGCCTGCCCATGGACATTTGCAACACCCGCAGGGTTGCAGATGCGTTGCCACCTCTTAATAATGTGGGCCCCGGCTACCTCACTCACCAGTCGAAACGCAGAAGTGCAACACTTCTACGTTACGCCGGTCTTCTGTGAGGTCGTGGTACTTAACTGGACGGACCTGCCCATTCGTGCAACAGCGAACACTGTTGCGTGGCCCTACCACCGTTACACTAACCGTTGAACTAACTTTGGAAGAAACGAGCAAGGCTACCTCGAATGAGAATGCGCTATTTATGAGTGAAATACTAGTGAGTTGCTACAATCAAAGCACAAAACACGAGGCTAGATAGCCTGGAGACAAGAATAGATTCTCTCGAAGAACAAATGAAAGAATCTAAAACCCAAAACGCTCAAGCGTTGCAAGACATTATTTTGCGGCAGCAACTTGAGATACATGAACGTGATCAAGAAGCCCTTGCGAACGAAAGAGATTTCAAACTTCCCTGAATCGACAAATGAGTTTGAGGATGTAGATATCCTTCTCGCTGTAGGCAAAAACCTAGGTAAGATCTGGACGAGCGGGACGTGGTGCATGTGCAGCGTGCGGGACCAGTGCACGCAGAGGGTAAGGCAACGCCACGCCCGCGTGTACTTGTCGCCCGCTTATCAAGACGCGCCCAGAGGGATTCTCTGCTGCGGGCAGCACGCCTTCGCCGTGGTCTCACTACGGAGGGAATTACTTCGTATTCAGGAGTCGTTCGTTCCCTTTATATCATTGAGCGCCTTACTAAATTAAATCGGCAGTTGTTCTGGAAAGTACGAGAAATTTCAAATAATCGGAACTGGAAGTATAGTCTATAAGTATGTCTAAACGAGAGAAAGCAGAATATATGCTAGAAGTGAGGAAATGAGGAAGGTACTTTTCTACAAGATTTCCAGTATTTGATCTTTTTAATAATTGCTGTATACCTTTCTGACTAATTCAACAACAGTTGACTAATATTATTTTATCTTACAAATGCAAAATACTCACTGTGTTTATTATTGTGTTTGTAATTTAATAATTTTTGTGCCTATGATATTGTTACATTTTAATATGTTATATCATAATTTAGGATTATTTATAACATGCTTATACCATTCCGTTAATGTTTAAAAGATAAAACGTATCAGGCCTGGTTAAACATTTATAATTATGTCAGAAACAACTATAACTGTAATGTATGTAGACCAACGACATCTGTATTTGCGAAAACGACTTGCAAATCCGTCTATATTTGATGAAGTTATACCCTAACATGCTTAAAAAAATAATGTAAATATCCGAATTGTATAACCTCCTCCTTTTGAAGTCGGTTAAAAAGAAACAGACTGACTTAATTTACAAAAGGCGTAGTAAAACCAGGCATATCGCAGATTCCCAATTATTTCGTAAAGTGGAAGTATAATACTTTCGCGTTTCATCTGGTGAGTGAGGTGGCCAGAGCCCAATTTTCAAAAGGTTGTCAACGCATCTTCAACCCTCGGGTGAAGCAGATGTCCATGGGCGATTCACTTAACATCAGGTTAACCGTTGGCTCGCTTGGCAACTTTAAACATAAAAAAATTGCACTATTGGATTTTTCGGTGTATGTGTATAATTTATCTTTCTTTATCCGTATTTATCTTTATTTATTTATTTAATCTTTATTGCCAACCTTCAGAAAACAAGGCAACAAAGGGCGGACTTAGTGCCCAAAGGCATTCTCTACCAGTCAACGCAGGATGTGGTGAGAGTTTATGGTAGGTGCAGCAAAAGATGCCAGAATTATAAAATTTTAAATAAAGAGAATAAATATGTTAATAACAATATAAAATATATATTACATTTATATTTGACATTTACATTTATAATTGCATACAAATAACATATAAAATTATATATGTATATATATATATGTATAAATTATATACATGATGTTACAGAAAGGTGTTGTAACATTTAAAGGCGTGTATATATATCAGACTTTGAATCAAATGGCATAATTTTAAAATACGAATCTAAGCATTTTTTGACGATAAAAATTTAAAAAATTATTAACTGTAACAATCCTGATTATAGAAGTCACTGACCGCGCATCGGTGTTATCACTCCAAACTCACACACGCATACATCTGATCGCCCGACTTATTCCCCTCTCCCTCCACTCCTCGTTACGTCATTACCCCACTTCCCGCTCCTCAAGTTTATCGGTCCCCTCCGCCCGCCCCTCGCCAACCAAACTGACAACGACCGCATCGCGCTGCAGGTCCTGGCGATGCTCTAATACAATGAAACACCGTGCTTATCATCAAAATTTATTTGAATTTATCGGATTTTGTCACAACAGAAAGACACGAAATAGCTATACTGATAGTCCATGAGCCCTACTTAATATGTTATTGATTAAAAATAGGTATTCATAATCGGGAAATAAAACACAGACACACTTTTAAATAAATAAACTATACCTATACATTCCAATGAGATCAGCGTTTACTAAGAAAACTCGTGCTTATCGGTGTCGGTCGGTTCCATTACGCGATACTATTCTTTCACTGTTATAGCACTTCAGCACTTGGGATAGTCATTGTCACTAACCTAAAACACACCAAGGTCAAGGGTTGCTTCGTCATTTGCGAAGCTTCGACGCGTATAGGGCGCGGACGCAGACGAGGGCCGATCCTTCCTAACACCTCCTTAACACAACTGGCAGCTGATCCAAATTTATTTCAGCATTCTTGCTTGCTGTCTTTTGGCGTTTCTTCTTATCTTCTTAATACTTATGGCGTCATAGACTGCCTGTCATCGAAAAAACCAATAATGTAGTTTCAAGGTAAATCGACGGCAATTCTCTCCGCAACACCGAATACCATTAAGCAATTTCTTAGCATATGCATTTCTGTCATCAATAACTAGTATAAGTGTAAGTTTATATACTTCTGCGCTTCGTCGAAAGTAATTTTTTCCATTAAACTTGTTATTTTCACTACGAAAGTCGGCCATTTTACTAATTTAACGTCAAAAACTGAATACACAGTACGGCTAACATGAAAAAATATAGATGGTGAATGACGTCATATTCGTATCGATTGTAAAAACGATTATTAAATTTGAAAAAATTGAGTCACAGATCCGACACATAGCTCCCCAACTTTATGTGGTCTCGTGGTCAGCCGGAGCCAGAACCTGAGTTCTGGCGAAGCGCATGGAAGAATTAAATTTAATAGTGCAAAAATAAGCTTATAATAAGACATGTTGTCAACAACAATATTCTCCCTTTGCGAAAATGCACTGCTTCATACGAATAAACCAATTTTGAAAACATTTGTGCCACTCCTCCATTTTGACCTCATAAACGTGTTTTTCATAATCTTCGACAGCCTCTTCTGGTGATGAAAATCAATGATTGCGTAATTGGTTCTTAATTTTTCGGAACAGAAAAAAGCACAAGTTCTACGCTCACCTCACCTTTCAAAACTCGTTTGTCCAGCCGTGTGGGAACTAGCATTGTCGTGGTGCAAGATGATACAGCGTTTATGATTACTTTTACGCAGTTCTTCAATAACTTCCGGCAAGCAATGGTGGTGTACCAGTCAGTCACTATTCACGTTACGACGATTTTCAAGCAATAGTAGCCACGTGTCCAGTTTTATTTAAAGAGAAGTAATCATCCGCTTAGATGCACTTTTCACCCGCTATGGTTGGTTTTGGCTCATCTTGAAAGAGTCATACGCTCGATTGCTGCTTTGTTTTGGGATCTTAGCAGCATGGGGCATAGTAACTGGTGACAAAACGTAATCCACGTTTCGTCACCAGTTACTATACCCCATACCAAATTTGACGCCTCTTCGTTGAATCTGGTAAGCATGACATTGACGAGTAACGTGGTCCGTTTTTTGAACCACGGTCAAACTGTGTGGGATCCACCGTCAGCATAGCTTCCTCACAGCCACATGTTCGTGTAGGATTGATTGTATCTGACTTAAGCTGCGAAACGGGGGAGATTGTGAGTTATATAAAGTTAAATTTGAGCATACAAAGAAACTTTTTCTATATTCAATTAGGGATTTTCTTAGATTTATTCTCTCACTACAAAAAATTTCAAAATTGGTTTCTTCCTTTTTTTTAGTGTTGGCGTTGTTTAAATGCCAAAAGAAAAGATAATATCTTCATTTATTCTCAATTTCATGAGTTTTATATTTTTTGTGCGGAACCCAAACTCCTCATTTTAAATAACGTAGCATAATTATGTTACTCCCCCCTAGCTAACGCACACATGAGCACATGCGTGGCCCTACCCACTGTGGAGGGCCTAAAACCTGTGGGTTCTGGCTAGCCCACTGGTTCTGCGTTTGATGTAACTTTAATAGTGTCGACTGTCGGGACTGAAAACGTTAACATTAATTAGTAGAAGAAATGTTACACCTAAACAGCTATGTGCCAATGGAAGTCCCATTAAAATCAGCCAACCCGTTTCATAGATTAGCCAAAATCAAACAAAGACATTTTGCAATTAGGAAGCAATCAAACTAACAGACTGAGTCAAAAGATAGACAGATAAATATTTTAATTTTTTTTTTGTTTGGGTGCTCCAAACATGCATATTCATATCATTAAGTAAAAAAGATATTATATTGAAATTATAAACATTCATTCCAATTTTTCTTACTTGTATAGATTTTAATTATCTACTAATATGAAATATTTTAATCAGAGTTCTATTTTCCATTTTTATTTTTAATTTCGGAACGAGTGCTAGTGATGAGCAACAGTTCAATTTCAATTTAAATCGATTGGTGGATTGAATTATTTTATTTATCACAATAGTCTGAGATAGATAATGACATAATTTATTTTTTGTTTTCAAATTATGTTCATGTCTTATTTTAGAATGTCTGATAAACTTTTATTGTGTCATTTACTAAGAAACTTCATGCAATATGCTTAATAAAGATAATATATAAATAGATTTGTGATTGTGTTCATAAATTGATTGTTTCAATAATAAAAAAATAATTCATACGAAAAAGCACAAAATGTTATAATTAAAAAAATATTGGTTCGTTTACTATTTTATAGACGTTAAATAAATATCAAATTATGTACTAATAACGGTTGAGGACAACGTACATCACTGATTTTGTAACCGTCGCCGAATTTTGAAAGTGCTGGCGCTTTGTTTCGGTTACAAAATGTGGGAAATTTTAATAATCAGTTGACTATTTCGAGAATGACGGAAAAATTAAAGGATTATCAAGTTCTCGATGTACTCTGCGGCGGCACATTCTACAAAGTTAAGCACAAGGTCACCAACAACATATTTGCGTGGAAAGCTTACGATTGCACTTCGTACTCCGACGAACAAATACAAAATATCGTGAATGAAGTGAAAATAATTAGTAAAGCGATATCTGGCAACTTGCTGCGATATTACGACACAATATTCCACAATGCATCCAAAACTCTGTACTTTGTCCTTGAGTACAACTCCTGGCAAAGCGTACAGGAACTGACCGCTGTTTGCAAGGCCACTGATAAATATTTCTCCGAAAACTTCATTTGGCATCTTTTGTTGGAGCTGGCACGAACTTGTAAAGTTGTTGAAAATTTAAATTTTGCAGTCATAAGAAAATGCATAACTCCGGCTACTATTTACGTAGACCGCAGCGGAGAAGTTCGAGTCGATTGCTTCCAGTTGTCTTCGGCGATCTCAGGAGCATCAGACCTCATAAAACAAGTCGGAGATGTGATCCATACGATGTGCTACCTGAAACAGAGTTCTGACAACAAAATCAACGAATTCAAATACAGTGAGGATTTGAAAGATGTAGTATCTTTTCTCACGGATGAAAAAAACTTCACTCTTCGTCCCGAGGTTGTTATTTACTACCCAACAATTTTAACAAATACGGAAGCTAAGACCAAGCCGAAACATTTGACAGAAATATTGATATCAAATGAAGATATACTAAAAAAATCAGAATCAAATAAATGTGATTCTGAAAAGGCTGTTGAAATGTGCCAGAATATCAAACCTTTGGCAAGGACCCCTTTTAATACTACAGACAGTCCAATTTACTTAAATTTGAACCCAAAACTTGAAGAGGACAGAGAAATTGATGGTGTAAAACCAGTACAAGCAACATTGTCGCCTACATTGGCCGCTTTGGCCTTAGAACTTCCAGGATATGTTCCTCGAAGCAGAAAACCTTACAGTGAATCCTTAGAGACATACAACCCAGCACAAAAAATTTCTGCAGAAACAATGAGTCACCAGTGGATGTCTCGTCTCATAGCTTTGAGAGAGAGAGAACAGTTATTAAATAAGAGGGAAAGGGAACTTGTTGTTAAAGAAATAATAAACAGTCCTGCTACAAAACAACAAGTGCTCAACAATCAATTGGATGTCTATCAGAGTAATGGTATAACTTTACCACCAGTTGTAGCTAGCGCTGAGAAGAATAGATGGAAATCGCGTCGCCGTCGCAACCGATCTAGCTCTGTGCGCTCTAGGGCTCGCCGACAAAGCTACAGTTATGAAGATTTAGACAGTTCTTTGTCAGCTGATACTGGAGATGGAAGTATCATTGTCACAGCTACTAAGTTTACTGCAGAAAATATGCCACGACGCAATATATTCCCTCACATAACATCTAAAAAAGTGCATTTCACACCAAAAAATCCTTTTGTTGGAAGTGATGAAAGTGTCACCTTAACATTTTATGATTTAGAACATTTGGATGGCGAAGACAACAATGACATTGTAGGACATGAAGAAAAGGATATAAGGAAGTTCAAGTATTTTGATTTAGACACTGTGACATCAGAGGAAAGAACATCTAAGCAATGGTGCCACTCATCCCCATCTAAGCAAGCAAAAGTATTCAGAGATATAACAAACCAGGGTACCTTAAGAAAAACACCATCGAAGAGCAGTCTTACATCTAGAAGCTCCATAACTTCAAGATGCTCTATGATGTCAACCAGAAGTCACTGGAGTATGGAGTCTAGTAATAGTAAGATTAGTGAGGGTTATGTCTCTGATAGAACACGGTCTAGCATGAGACAATTCCCACAAACTCCAACTGCACCTCCCGACTTGAAGAAGACTAAGAGCAGGAAATCTCTACTCCAATTTAAAACTCCATTTAAATTCAAATCATCCACCAAGGTATGAGCATTTGGTATATTTTTATAAAATGTGGCCCAGTATGATCTCTCAAGCTCCATTACTAGTTTATATAACACAATAGTCTAAGATAGATAATGACATGGTTTTTTTATAAAAAAAAATTAAACCTAGATTAAGCTTAAGTAAATACAATGGTTGTGGTATTTTTTTCTTTTCTTTGATTTAATAAGTTTTAGTTTCCTAAGATTTTGTAGTTTTCAGTTCCAATAACTATTTGGAACAAATTTTCTACGCTAATGTGTTTTGTATATAATATTAAAACGGACACCAACCCACCCTAAACCTAGAGTAGACAAATTATATTATAATGAACATTGTGACATGGAACAGTTGCTATTTTATTTGTATTTAATTGATTTTATATATGTATAACAATTCTGTACACATCTTATGTATTTGTAGAAAATTAAAATTTATAAAATCAAAAATTGCTTTTAGAAAAATAATGTTTAAATGTCATTATCATACTCTTATTGTCTTCCATATTACTTTTTAAGCTAAAAGCTTGCTACTGTACTGGTCAAAAAATGTAGTATCAGTGTATTCGTTACAATTTTAGCTTTCTTTTTTTTTAAATACATTATTACATTTTAAGTTATAATTGTGCAATTGTGCTACAATTCTTATCATAAGCTTATTAAATTTTAAACAATGATAAATCTATGTTTAACTATGTCTGTGGCCATATTTTTTTTAAATAAATTACGAATAAGATACATAGTAATAGATTATATTTTATTCAGATGGAGAGATTCATTTTATTAGTTATTATGGTTAAGTGATAAATACATAATTATAGGACAAATGGTTTTATTTTATATCAAGCACTCTTTTGGATAACACTTTTTTATTTGATATATTCACTTTTTTTTATTTAAAGCTTTGTCAGCACCTTCAAGATACTTCTTGGGTAATCCGTACTTCTCAATTAGAAGCTTCGCTATGAAGTGTGTCTGGAAAAGGATAGGAAAAATTTTATTGAAATATAGCAATGCATTTTTTTAAATCTCAATTTGTAAACAAAGACAAAATTTTATTGCACTTTATTTTTTAATAAATGTTGGGTACCCCTGGCATGCCCTGTGGGATATATGTTTTTTATTACTGATCCTTTCCTTTCAATTCTGTGATTCATGTGACTGGACTAATGAGAATTTTGCATAATTGCTTTAGGTAATAGTATTTTAGTAAATACAGACATTTATTGTGTACATAGGCATCAATTCCATTTTGAATGAAAACAATGGCAACTGAATATTATTGTTTTAATACAAAATAAATTCTGACAAATTCAACTAAAAGCCCTGACTGAAGGGAGATACAATCCTTACTACCTTACTAATGTTATAAAGGCGAAAGTTTGTATGTATGTATGGATGGATGTTACTCCTTCACGCCAATACTACTGAATGGATTTCAATGAAACTAAATAATATAGCTTATACATCAGAATAACACAAAAGCTATAATTCATATACAAATTTTTATGAATATCTGACATTCTGTCTGAATGTTACACCTGCAACCTATTTTATGCAGACATAGTTGAGGGCAGCAGTTAGTGACCATATAGATAGTAGATGGTGATGTTATGTGTGATAGTCCAGGATTTGCTAATTCTTTTTATTTCAGTAATACAAGCATAAACATGACATTTCATTTTAATTTTTCATTTTGTTACATTTAACTGTGGTAGGGCCGCAACAATTTCTACTATTACTCCAATAGGCAGGCTGGTCTGGGGATGTACCACAACTTAACGTGGGTCGCGTAAAGTGGAACTATTATACTTTCGCGTTTCGTCTGGTGGTAACTGGGTCCCACTTAAAAAGTTGTCAACACATCTATAAACCCTCGGGTGTTGCAGATGTTCATGGGCAGTGGTAATCACTTGACATCTAGTATACTGCCTGCTCTCTTGACAACTTTTCACATAAAAAAAATTAGTAAATCTGCCACTAATTGTTTAATTAACTCCCTTTAACAGCCTCTTGAATTAATAAAATCAATAATCAATATTGGAATTTTCAAGTAGACAGAGCCTTTTCAGTAATAATTTCTCTATTTATTGTAGGTGTATACAGATATTAAGGAATTAAAGCATTTTACATATTATGCAATTTATATCTTACCTGGTCACCCTGTACCATTAGCTGGTCATGTTTGGCTCCTGGGGTTCTTGTGACTCCGCATGAAGCAGCCACACCATGTTGACACATTTTGGACATTTCTAGTAGGTTGAAGCCATACGACTCAAGGTTTGATACAAGTGTAACCTGGTGAACAATAAATTGAGATGAAAAACTAAGAATAAAATACATGTATATATAGATTTTTGTATAAAAAACATTGTATTAAATAATTGAAAATATGTGATTGTTTTATATATTACAAAACTAATACTACTACTATTTTTTTAAATAGATTTGTTGTTGTAAAAGAAAGGAGTAAAATTTGTGAATTTACCTTTTTGTTTCCGCTCCTTGTAGCAACTTGCATCTTGATTGGTTCCAGCTTGCTTTTAATAATTTTTACAGTTCCATCAGAATACTGCAACTCTGTGCTTGGAGTCATCTTGTTAAGAACTGCATTCATGAGTCCTTCCCATTTTATTGTTTCCTGTGAAAATTATGATGCCGTCATATGGTATTTGAATTCTCACACAAAATATTAAAACTTGTAGGTGGTTTTTAATTTTATTCCTTAACCACATAAGTGTATAATTGTTGTAGTAAACAACAATATGTACACAAAAAAAAATCTAGATAGACTAGCAGTAGCTAATCCTACTGGTGAATTTTATAGTGTTCTCAGTATTAACGCCATCTCCTGCTTTGTTCTGTCGGGTTGTTCTGATATTGTCTCTCGTAGGGCACTCACGTGTTCCTGTTGGCCGGCGACCTTGGCCAGGAGCGGGTCCAAGGATAGGGCGCCGCGTTGCTGAGCGCTGTTCAAGCCTCGCGCCTTCACGTACTCCGTGAGGGTCGAGCGCACCTCCGCCGCCGATAGGGCTGTGCCCTTCCTGAACCGGTATTATTCATCAGCTTAGAAAGGGGACAAATCTATATGATTAGTTTCTCTGGGGGAACTGGTAATAAATTGTGAGGTTGTATATACATATATTTCTTATTATTTATTTAGTGTATACTACATATATATGTACAAATATTTATTTACAAACAGTTTTATAAAATTAGAATAATTGAAAAACCAAGTAACCTAACCTATGTTCATGTCACAGGAGGCCATAAACAATTATGCGTGAACTGAACAACCATACAAAAGTAAAAAAAGTTTCCAAAAATAATTTTGAGGATGAGTCAACTATATATGTGATTGATTGATTTTATAAACTATCTGCAAAGGCTATGTTACATTATTATCAAAATATAAAATATTATATTATATAACTTTTATTAAATGAAATTCGCTTAGTTGCTTTTGTTTATTACCGAATTTGAAGTTTATTCTTGGGCTTGACTAAGAGAAGCCAAAAAGCAGACTGACCTTAATGGGGCGAAGAGTTCTGCGACATTGGCCGTGATGCAGTAGAGGTCGCGCACGAGGGGCGGGGAGGGGCCGTCGCTGCGCTGGTGGGGCTGGGGCTGGTGGTGGGGGTGGGGGTGGGGGCGGTGCGCCTTGAGCAGCGGGTGCGCGCAGGCCACGCCCACCAGCGCCGACACGCCCTTCTCGATCTCACGCACCTCGAGCAGGCCTTCCTTGAACACGCGCAGCCATATAAGCCCGGGAAAGTGCTAGCTTTGAACCTAACATGGGACCAACACCTGATTACTCCGTGGCACAGCTGCCAGGGCTGAGGTCATAGGTTCGATTCCCACATTAGAAACTATTTGTGTGACATACAGATAACTGTTTCAAATCTAGGTGTTTGTCCTTGTGTAATTTATGTATTTAAAACATTCTTATAACACTGGATATTACTACAAGAAGAGCAATGTTTTCGAAAAAAAAAAAGTAGATCTTCGGTGAGTGTTTGTTGGGACTTACCACCGAACAGCTTTACAACCTTACACAAAATGTAATACAAGCCCGAGGAAGTGCTAGAATCCAATATTAGACCAACAGTTGATAGTTGGCCTACATCTTCTAGGTCACAGTAGATGGTTAAAATCAACATCTGATAGTTGAATGTCTCTTACTGATGAGGAATTGCTATCTCGGCTTTTAGTACATTTTATTGAATACAGCAAATGTCGAATGCCCTCTGTTCAATTGACAAAATAAATTTTTATCTCCTTATAAATTATTTCCATTTAATTTTTTTCTCACATTAATTTGTCTATTGCACTTTTCTCTTATTTGAAGATTGTTTATAAAATCATTATTTTCAGGGACTTACAGTGCTCTAACCATGTCAACCATAGTGTTAATATAGCGTTTTTTACCGACACTGTTTTTATGGTATAATTTGAACAGTGTGTTGAATTTTGTGGGATCAGCAATGAGTGAGCAAAGAAAAAAGAGAGTGAGTTGAGTCAAAGACTTGATAAATCTATACCGAAAGTCATCTTTCAGACAGTGATCTGATAGCTTCAATGGTATAAACTAACTCAGTATATTCACAGCATTATTCCTTCCATTTACTTCTTGTTCTGTGCTATGAGTCATGGTCTGGCCCAAAAATGGGTCGATTCTTGAACTCCTACAAAAAATGAGGAGTTTGTAGATGCGGAAATGTGTAATCATATGGATTATGCTACGCGAAAGAAAGGGAAAACGCATCCCTAATGATGGATATGCTAAGGCTAAGTATTTTGAAGAGAATACACTGCACTAATTTCTCTGAAAAATGTATTTTTATCCAAAAAGTTTTCTCAATCCATTTAGCAGAGAGTACCATTACCTGTTGCATGGCTTCAAGAAATTTGCCCATTTTCTTGTAAGTTGACTTCTTTACATCTAAAGTTCTATCTGGTGGGCACAATGGTATTAGATGATTTCTGAAAAACAGATACAATCAAATAATCAGAAAAACCTACAGAAAAAGAAAATTACTACAGTAATTAAGAAATGAAGCAGAAGAATTAAAAAAATATATAAGATATGCATGTTCTGCAAATGCCATAATTATATAAATGATGCATATTTTTAGACTAGCAAACCATTTTCAGGCCTAAAAAGGGTAATTTCAACCAGAAAATCTAACTGCAGATATGCTTATGGTATGGAACTTAATTCTTTCCGCTGGTTCCAAAATATGAAATGGACAGATGATAGACAGCTATGTACAGATATACATTTAACATAAAAATATAAAAGATCAATTAATCCTCATATTGCGGGAGAATTAATTGAACCTAATTTATTACTTTAATGTTGAATGAATAATTAGGAAAGATATTAAAACAATAGTAACACTCACTTATAAAGCAAGTTGGTTTTGAGTGGCAGCTGAATATTCTTGCCCTCCAGTTTGATGAAAGACAGAAGGCACCATTTCAGCAGCTCATCCATGTCAGTTGGTATTGAGTTCTCATTCATTAGTGAGTTGTCTAAAAATTTGAAGTGTTGTCAATTACCACTTTTCAATGTCAATTTTGTCTCTATTCAGGAATTGTTGTGAATAATATAATAAAAGCATGATTAAAAACGTCTTTACATTATTTCCTCTTGATTATGCCAGCTTCAGTACATTGAATTAGCATATTATGTGGTTAGCAGGAAATTCTAATTTTTATTACTTAACCCATCTGCAGATTAGTAAGAACTTATTTCCATGTGAGGTTTTTTATGAGTAGTATGTGCAAAGGTGGCAAACAAGTTGGCGGTTCACCTGATGTTAAGTGATAACCGCCGCTCATGGACATTTGAAACACCCGTAAGGTTGCAAATATGTTGCCACCTTTAAATAAAGTGAGCCCCGGCTACCTCACTCATCGGACGAAATGCAGAAGTGTAATACTTTTACTATACGCCACTCTTCTGTGAAATCCTGTGAGAACCGGCCCAGATGGCATTACCTTTTAAGCCATTTAATTACCTGTAATAACAGAGTTGTCTAATTCTGATTCCTCATTTTTCTCAACCACAGGCTCCTGTTCGGATATAATTGTTGGTTCATTTAAAACTGGTGAAGGTGTAGAAGCTATATCAGATGGCTTAGTTTCTTCTCTAACTAAACTGGGCCATTCCTCTTTGATTGGTTTTTGAATGGTTAACTGGAAAGACAATAAATATTTTCAATTAGTTTTATTGAAACCATGTCTTTTATAATCAGGATTATTGTTGCACTAAGAATATTGTCTGAAAACAATATTATTGTCTAAAACACTTCAATTCTACTTTGTTCATGGGATTTTTTTCAATTCAGCTAATTCTTTTTAAAGAATAAATAAAAAAATCTTAATAGCTTTCAGTTTAAAAATTGGAAAAATATTGGTAAATTCTTTTTTTTGCTTTACTATAATTGTTTCATTTCTATCTTATGGACTTTCCCTGTCACAATTCCTACTTTTGATGTAGGGATCGTCAAACCACTAGATCAAATCTGGTTTGAGTGGTTAAAGAAAATCCCCTCCTAATGTTTACTATACCAAAACTTGACATCTCTTACTTGAGCAATATTAGTAGTTATATCGTCAGGTTCATTGCTGTATGCAGGCGGCTGGAACTTTGGTCTCTCCAATTTTGCAAACTTGGGGTCCTTACAAAGCAAATCTCCAAACACTTGTAGAGGTTCCATGCACACTCCCCTGAAAACAATAAAATTAATTTGTATAAAATCTTAAAGGTTACCCAGGGATAATACAGCAGAGATAGTCTAACACTTAGAATCTAAGCTATTAAAATGAATTTATTCGGTCTGAAATGATAAAAATTATAATAGATTTCTATAACACAAAAACAGTGATTTCTTACAGCGGTCTTTATAGATATGAGAGTATTTACAAAAAAGTAATATATTTTTTGTTTTCTCACCAATTTTTAGGAAATAAATATTAACTAGTCAATAAAGATATAATAATAATTAAAAACAACTTTTAAGAAACTTACATATTAGTTCTCAAGAGGTCAGAAGACGATATAGTAGCTTGACCAACAGCACCCACTGCACCATTGTCAACTGTAGCTGCCGCTATAAGAGCCCCACGTTGGTAACATGGGAATTTCACTGGATCCGCTAAATTGACACCAGGAGCATAGAGTGGTGCTCCACCAGCAAGCTAATAAATGTGAATGTACTAAAGTTAATTACTAGTTTAAGTAATACTCAAGTATTCACTTAGTACACAAAATGGTTATGATAATTATTTATAAGACTAAATTGTATATAATGGAGTTTGTATATCTTATATTTATAATTTTTCTGTGCATGTATGTCACTGAACTCCTCCTGGCTGGCCCGATTTTTTCGTAATTTTTTGTGCACATACAATTGGATTCGGGAATGGTTTAGATTCACAATTTGTGCCATTTTTTGAATAATTTTTTTATTTATAAGTTGCTGTCTGATTTAAGATGTGTGTACAGGACAATATCCGTTGGATCGCTAATATAAAATACTATTAACTTTTCTCTTAATAATAAGTGTTTCTATGAGAAATGTTTGTTTATCCGTAAATTTAGTTTATCCCCAAATTTAGTTTCATTTAGCATGTACATGTATTGATATTTATTGCAGAAGGGCCTAGAAATGTTGGGTAATTGTTTATAAAAGTGGCATGCATATTTTTTGCATTTTTACATTTAATAGAGAAACATAACCAAAACTATATAGAAAAATTGTCACCAACATTGACATTTTAAGGAAAATAACAAGGGATAAAAACCTTACAATGGCCGGGCTTTGTAAGGTTTCTTAATATATAAAAATGTAAAACTCACAAACCTAGCTTGTGTGTATGAATCCTACTTTATCTTAATAAATATTAATGTTTTTAAATATCCTGTATCATTATATTTGTTAAGAAAGAAAGTATGTGAGTTACTTAATGGCACATTTCCTAAGGGTGTTTTTCATTATTTTACTATTTTCTTCTTGAAATTTTAAATGTCACTATTTTTACTTCATAATTAGTTTTTCTACTGATGGAGCCATTAAACTAATATTGGTATCAGGAATTGGAATTCGTTTTTCAGCTATGTTTCTCATCAATTAAAACTATTTGTATCCAACAAAAACTAGCATGCCGCCTAAACCTTAAATTACCTTTTAATTAAATTGAAAAGTATTTTAATAGAATATAATTAAAAATGTACCTTTGGTAGGACTGGTGAATGAATTATAAGAGTTGGAAGCAAATCTGGCACTTTCCACAAAGCACATGTAGTAGGAACCAAGATATCGCCCGTTTCTATCATCACTGGAACACCATCCACCACATAAACACCGACAGTTTCTCCTGAATGAAGAATGAGCTTCATACAACTACTGTTTGATTTTACAGGCACCAACTCTCGAATTTTTTCATCAGTAGCCGTAGGGAATTCATTTAAGATGCGCTGTGCTAAATGTTTCCTATAAAAAAAGTTAAAAGTTGTGTTTCTTGTTTTGAAACGTATCATGTTTTAGTTAAAACATTAAACTATATTACATACTTCTCTGAATTTTTAAGAGTATTATTAGATTTTAGTTTATATGCTTTGCCAAACATTTTAAATGGAAATACTGGGACAAAAAGTTTAGTTTTATTTAATATTCTTGAGCAAAGGAGGATTTTTCCATACTTATCGCGGCGTTTTTGACATTAAGACATTCAACAACTGTCAAAATCAGTAAATTAGACGTCAGTCTCTATGACGTTTGAAAGTATTTCAGTTTAAAAATCGGTTTAGGAAAGGTTTACGTCCTAGGCTTAACACCGCAGCTCGTAACAAGATAGCTAGTTATTCTCTCTCTCAAAGGTTAAGCATAACTATTCAGCGAGGATATGTAGCTAGCGTTCTTGGCACCATGCTGCGTACATTATGTTTATTAGATAATATGTAATTTAGATAGATTAACGCCCAGTTTCTGAAACACTGATCACTGTAGAAGTTAACTAATCAGCATCAATGATCTGTGTTTCAGAAACCGGTCGTTAATGATGTAAATGTGTGTAAGTGAAACAACGTTTTTGCTCTCAATCTGTATTTTTAAGTAACTCTGGACTATATGTACAAATTACAATTAATTAAATAGCAACGCTAGTAATTATGTGACCGTCCAGGAACAGCGCCGAAATGAAAGTGATCCGTGAGCGCTGCTCCATGCGACCAGGTGCCTCATCACTCGTATTGATGACGTCATAACCGGTGTATAATGTTGCCAGCGACAACATCCGGCCGTCCTGAATCACGCCTTCGTCCTCGAACAGCGTTATAGTCTGGTGCAAGTGCTGAAAACAATATCGTTGATCTTACTGAAAGTTATTTAGACATCATGTTAATGGGTACTATGCTTAGTTTGACCAGACTTTAGTATCAAACTAGCACTTTAACACTTAACACAATAAATGTGCAGCTTCAATATATATTATTATTCGAGATACTACTAACACCTTCGTACAGTTAACACGTTACCCTGTGGCTTATCCCTCTCAACTGGGATGCATATCGCCACGTTCAGAACACCTTACCCTGTGGCTTATTCCTCTTAACTGAGATGCATATCGCCACGTTCAGAACACCTTACCCTGTGGCTTATCCCTCTCAACTGGAATGCATATCACCACTTCAGTTTCAGGTTTCAGTGATTTACCAAACTTGGTAGCTTTACTGGTTAGACTAGTCGTGTATCGCTACGTTGTCTTAGTACCAGTGATGGTGTTCACAATCGATATCCATCACCAGTTCATGCCTTGAAGTCTTTAGACTAATATCAACTGAAGCACTTGCACTAGATAATTAGTTAATACACAAACCTTGGTCTACAGTACTCTTATTCTTCTTAATACCAATATTTTACAAGTCGCAAATATGTTACGTAACAAATTTTCTAAAGGTAAAATTATGTAGAAAGGTATTATTAGTTATACAAACCCGACAACATCCGACCTTTTCTTTGCGTACATATCCAAGCAATTATACCTCCGATTCACCGAGGCGAACCCATGGTTTCATGTTTTCCGCACAAGTCACACCTTCGTACCGCCTGGATGTACGCTCTGCCCCTCTCATGTCAGTCACTTTATATCTGTCGTGACCCAATATTTCTGTAACTTGAAAGGGACCTTTAAACAATGGCATTAATTTGGTGTTCTGGCCGTCGTTATTTTGACTGCGAATTTTTGTAAGAACTAAATCCCCTACATTGTAGATGACGGCATCCTTGCGTTTTGAATCAAATATAGTTTTTGACTTGTTCGCAACTTTTTTAATGTTTTCATCTACCTTATTTCTTAAAGAAGTTACATTAACAATTTGTTCCTCACTATCACTGATTATTTTATCTGAATTCATTCGTAAATTATAACCAAAAAATACCTCACTAGGCACAGCTGCCGTAGATTTATTAATAGTGCTATTTATCCCCTGTTGAATTTGGTCAATATGCATATCCCATTTCTTATAATGAGTATTAGCCCCCATGCTACGTAAAGCCTCTAGTATTGTTTGATTATAACGCTCTACTTGACCATTTGCCCTCGGCATAGCAGTAGAAATTACATGATGTCTTATATTTCTATCTTTACAAAAGTTTACAAATAACCTTGACGTAAATGCACTCCCCGCATCACATATTAATCTTTTAGGATTACCGAATATCTTAAATATTTTATTGAGCTCGTTAATAACATTAAGACTTTTTGTAATTCTAACTGCTGTAATAAATACGAATTTAGTAAAGCCATCTACTGTTACCAATAAATATGTGTTTTTTAAAGTAGTTTCGACAAAAGGCCCGTCATAACCGGTGTATAATGTTGCCAGCGACAACATATATAACATAATATCCTCGAATGGGATGCTACTTGTGTAGACACTAACTGCATAACATCCATTACAGGGCCTAACCTTTGATCGGGTAGAGCGAGATTGTCTTTCAGACTCAGAGCCCTTTAGTCAGTGATTTCACTTGGCATAAATTGTACTTTGACTTTATGTTAAATAAATAATAATAACCGATTTTTTCAAATCGAATTTAAGTCAATTAGCTGTAGTTATTATACCCCTGCTCCTTTAACTGTGAGAAAATTTCTTCTGTTAAGTAATTAAATTGAATTTATTCATAATTTTCATTTAGCCACTCGAAAAAAATCTTAGTAGGTATTATGAAAAATATTTGAAGAAAAACATAATATCACTTACGGTGATATAATGTTTTTTTTGGGCCAAATTTGACGCCACTTAAAATCTACCGCCCTAGGCTTCATTCAGCCTACTTAGCCTGCTGGTAAATCCGCCACTGATGTAATAGGTAATTTTGTTAGTTATAAAAATTAATTTTGTAAAAATTAGAAGCATACCAAGACTTTTGAAATTACCGTAAATTCACAAAAACAAATGAAAATGAAAATGAAATGACACTATGTTTATTGACAAACAGAATTACACTTAAGTACATTGTGCGTTGACACATGACAATACAAATGACAATTCAATCAATCACATTAGGTCACCAATGAGTTCTATTATTCAAAATGGTTTTCATTGGTAATGTTTCTAACTCCTAAACGCGTTTAGTGTCACCCTGGCAATATGCAATGTTGAAACTTCATTAAAAAGTCTGCTAAATATCTTTGGCTTTGTAAAAAAACATTCTTTTTTTTCATTTGCTAAAATTTACTTTATAAATGCTAGATTTTACTTAGTAGCAAAGTGTTCAGTGAGATAATTCCCCCTGATGCTTGGTGATAATTGTCTGCGCCTAAAATTTTTAATATGCAATTACATTATATTACACGAACTCGGCGATGCTTTAATTCGTAAAGGAAATATTAGTTAAACTATAATTGCAATCAAAGAACGAGGTTCGCATCTCCATCAGGAGGACTTTTTTATCGTATCGGGCAAATTAGACAAATCTTACATTTTCCGTTAACAGTGGTTCCTGAGATGTAGATCAAAAAAAGGTTTAAATATTTTTATTTTAACTGAAAAGTTAGAGATCTCAAAAAATGTAAATATAACGTTTTTAGGGTTCTTCGTACTCAAAGGCTCCTAACAGGTACAACAGACATGATTTTGTTTGCCGTTTTTATGGATAATACGGAACCCTTACTCGTACTCGTACTTGGGCGGTTTTTATTTGGATTTTAAGGTACATAGTCAGTTGAAGTTTGGCGTATAAGGTCGTAATGTAAATTGTATGACATAATGGGGTCACGGGAGGTAAGGGTAAAACCGGGCGGCAGGCGGTGCAAGGCAATCGTGCTCGATGGTAGGTGCACCGGATTGACATTTGCATGGCTCAGCTCGTAAATAAGAAAAAATGTAAAAAGCACTTTTATCGAAGGTCCGATAATTAAAGGGATACCCGCCCGACACTGACTCCATTGAGATTATCTTTAAATGTATAATAATTTTCTTTTACACCTAACCTACAAGTGTTGCAGTGTGCAATTTTTCTGAATCATGGTATTTTTATAGCGAAGAATTTTGTTCATTCTTTGGAAATTGTGTCCTATAGTTGAAGAAATTAGTGGCACGTCACGTTATCGTAAAACAGAATTTAAATGCATCTATTTCAAAATTTATTTCTATCTGTCCCTACCAAGGTTAGGGGTTCTAAATCGTTTTAACGTCGATAGTTATAGTCGGTCTTCTGTGAGGTCGTGTTACTTCCCTGGATAGGCCTGCCCATTCGTGCAACAACGAAGACTGTTGCGTGGTCTTACCATAGTTAAGTCTTTGGTACAAGGTTATCTAGTGTTGCTGAACTGCATCTTATGTAATTGATGACAATGTGGCTTTTAATGCGCCGAAATATTAAGTAACTTTCAAACAATAGAAAAAGTTAAAATAAAATAATTTTAAAAGAAAATATTATAAATAAATATATAAATTGTTTCAGGACAAATCTGGTTATTAATAAATATACTTATACATCCTTTTTAAAAAAATATCATTCATAAATACACTAGAAAAACAGCATGTTCTTCCAATAATATTTTTTTCAGCACTGAGAATCGCAAGAGACAGATTCACTGTCCACTACGAAAATGTGGTCGAAAAATTATAAATGCAGTCTGAGTAAATTCCCACGCAGTGACAAGTATGGACCGCATTCATGTCACGATGCCACCTTTTCGTTTAGCAACACTGAGATGCCGCGTATTTGATACAGCGTCTTTTAAAGGAAAGCAAAGCAACTCTCTTAAAAGTTTTTCATTTTAGTTAAATGTTTATGTTAGCATCTGAAATAGGGACAACTTTTGTCCGATGAGGCCATCGTGTGACCGAGAGGTAGCTGATAAGCTGAAAGTACGTAAGCCCAAGGCGTCATTGTGAAAGAAGGTTAAGGGGGTAGGAATGGTTCACACTTGAACACTTTCGCTTACTCTTGAATAGCATGTTGCTATTAAAATTAATTATCGGAATTTTACAGGATCATCGGTTCGTCATTATGGTTTTAAGAAAGAGAAATAATATTAATTTAACGTTAATTAACATATATGTATTAGGAAATTTCATAAGCAATAAATAAATTATGAAATAATAATAGACCTATTGTCTATTATTATTTCATAATTTATTTATTTCTGTTCTGATCCTAGTTGCTAGGACGGTCTAGGAAGTTTGTATGTTAACTGTGCGGTTTCGAGTCTCAATGTCATACGCTGAAATAATAGATAAGACATATATACTGAAATTTTCAATGACATTTCTGTTGTTTTAGATGCGAACAAATAATTTACGGGTATTATTGCCCAATATTTTTTTGTGAAAAGCTGCCAAACGAGCAGACGGTTCACCTGATGTTAAGTGAATACCGCCGCCCAGCAGATGCCTTGACAACCTTTTTAGAAATTAGGCTCCGGCTACCTCACTCACCAGACGAAACGCGAAAGTACTTTTCATAATTCCAGTTTACGCCGGTCTTCTGTGAGGTACACCGGTGGTACTTACCCGGACGAGCCGGCCCATTCGAGCAACAGCCGAGGCTGCTGCGTGGCCCTACCACCGTTAAATTACGGTGATAATCTTTTTATTTAAGTGGGGGTTATACTTAAAATACGAGTAGTTGCACCAGGTAAGGGCGCACACGTCCACAACTTCGCCAAGACCCTTTTCTTCACGTAAGGCACTCTGAGGCATGAAATGCACTTTCTTAATCGGCCCCTATTGTCCAGAAATCGCACTCTGCCCTAAGACCGAGAAAGTCAGTGTCGACAAACAACAAGCGAATAAGCTAGACTAAGCCAGCGACAGATTAAGTCGTGAAAGCTTGTCTTTTATATCTCTGTAATAATTGCTAGTAAGAAAGCACTCGTTAAAATAACTATTTAAAAATATATCACAAGATGTAGTGCCAGAAATTATATAAAAATATTGTTTGTATTCTTCTCATAAATCTGCTTAGTATTTGCATGTCACTTCATAAACATTCGGCACTTGTGTGAACTGCTCATGGGTCGTGCCTGCATTTCCCCGCGGGATGTGGCCACAACCGCTTAGAATGAGTACCGCGGAGAAGTAAACCGGAGCAGTTCGTTAGGGCCACCACATATTTGGCTTTTGAAATGCGGACTTTTTGATCACAATTCTGTCGAAGTGTTGAACTAGAAGAAATTACGGCTACCGTTACTCATGGCAGCGCAATAACTTTATGGTAGCAAAAGCAAATTTTGTGCGAAAGTTGTTTTCAGTGTTTATCCACAACGCGTCGGAAATTTAACAATGGCAATAAAGTGATTGAAAGTTGGGCACACACATCACAAGATGGATCACAAGTTCTTCAATGAAACAAAGTATCTTAGATTCTGCCTTCACAATTAGTCCCGATTTCGCAGATATTAAATGTGCAGGCACCAATGCTACTGCATTGCAGTATAGAGGAAAAATCTCTAAGTTTACTCAAATAAACTAATGGTTTAGTATAGACTGCACTTTTTGTACTTTTATTTTTAATTATGTATTACTTTGCTCGGAACAGACGAACTAAACACGTAAAATTAAAAGGAAGGAAGCTTTTTGATGTATTAAGGTTTCCGATGTATTATAATTGAGCTTCTTTGAACTTGATACTTTTCTAAGAAAATTGCTTTTGATGCAATAACATTCATGAGTATATTTTATTATGTATTACTTTATTTCCTTTTTATTTTTCACTTAAGTCTGTTTATAAAATTACAATCATGTCATCGTGTATAATTTTGGGGATAGGTATCAATTTGAGGAATGATTTGAAATTGATAAATATAGAACTAAATCTAAATCGGGAATATTATCTATTGAACTAAATCTACATAGTGACATAACCCAAGATGCATTAACTGAGCTAATAACTTTAGCAAACGCGCTTACAAAATTAACGATATGTATTCTTCCTTCTTGCTAACTGTTCTTTCCAAATCGCTCTCAGGTCGCTTTAGCGCCGCTACCGCTGCGCTATCCGTGTGTGGCGCACTTCACCGCAATTATGATGAAAGCCATCATCAAGTAAAACGAAGCCTCCAAAGTATCGCGTAAGTGCACGGGCGGCACACAACACTGCTGGGTGTGTCCTGCCTGATGAGGGCGCGGTGTCGCACCCTTTCGGCGAGCGGCGATTTTGAGGAGATTGAAAATTAAATGTGATTATCGTATGCGCGTTCGTCGCATATACGTATATTTTCTTGCAGAACATAGGCGTGTAGGCCATAATGAGTGTAGCAGTGTAGACCACGTATAAATGACATCTATCGTAGCGATATTAGATGTAGAATATATTATTTACTAACCCTTGTCTTCTGTGAGTTCGTGGTACTTTACCGGTTGAGATGGCTTATTCATACGACAATAAAAGCTGCTGGCTGGTGTATGGCTATACACATTAAACTGTATGATAACATTATTTCATTGTAACGACTTGACCAGACTTAAATAGAACGGAAAATAACTCAATCTTAAATGATAATCACACAGTAGACCGCTTATGATCTTTACGCTGTGCTTGTAAGTATATTTAAATAATGTTGATATCAGAGCAGAGGCCCTTCACTTATTTAATGAATCCATTTTTGCATGCAGGTTACATGCGTTTTATTTATTCGTACTCGTCTTGCAATCAGCGATACCGACAAAACAAAAGCAACTCGCTTCAAGATGCGTTCCACGCATACTAAACTCGTGCTATAGGATAGCAAACTCAATGAGTGCAGTGCACCAACTTCTAATAAATACGTGGTATATATTAAATTGAAACGTATTTGTTATGAGTATGTAAACCGATACATTGAATAAAACATAGGGGCACTCTCACGCTTCTCTTGACTGATGCTATTGATCGACAATGATAATATTGACCCAAGTCAAACCACAAGTTTCATATTTGATTTTCAAAATAACAGTATAGATGCATATCAATAACATTAATAGATGGTTAAAAATTTATTTTGATGTGAACTGGTAATAACTCAAAATGTTCATTATAATTCTTATAAATAAAGTTATTATTCAAACGTAAATATTATATGATAGTAGAAAGTCTTAGCGTCGATTTTCATCGTAGCGCTAGGAACTTAGAAGAATTTGATGTCCCTGTGGCTATGTGTGAGTGATCTAATGTCAGAATCGGAGGAGCATGCAAAATACATAGTTATGACGATAATAGATAATTTTCGTTTATCTGTGACATCATTAAAATATTAAAGAGGATATTAATAAAATAGAATTAATAAATAATCACATTAAGGACAATAAATAAATAATTACAATAAGGACACATTTTTACATTTTAATGCATATTATACATTTATAAACACCCAGACCCTAGAAAAACACGATGTTCATCACACAATATTTTTCCAGTAAAGGTGATCGAACCTACACCCTCTGGCGCAGGAGGCAGGTACTCTACCCACTACGCCATTAGGGTCTTCCATTATATTTATATATTACAAATATATATTTTTAAGTTGTGGAGATGACAAGATGGAGTATTCATCTAGTGCGTAGGAGCTGGTCTACTCTTGACCGCCAATATACTCTGTGGCGGCTGTTCGTGGTGCCGCCCTCAAGATTACAGTCTGCTACGGCAAAGGTTCAAAGCGCTTATCCTCATATCTCGAGATGGCGACCCAGCCCCACATACGCCAAGTACGTCGCCGATCGCTCGATTTAATTGTATAACGAGAATAAACTTAATCGAGTTTAATCTAAAGCAACGGATGTAATCACTCCGCCACAAGATGCACCGGACTTGTACTCGTAATACGTAAATCGAAAATAATTGGCCTTTCTATATGCTCACCTTATTAAATCGCGAGCTACGGATTCTGTTAGAAGATCAGTAAAATAAACTCTGTGGAAAAACATTTGCCAGAATAACAGGACAGGCATTGACGTCTGATGTGCAACGTGCCAGGATGGTTCCATTTTACAATATTTTGTAGTATGTGAAATTCAAAACGATCATTAAATTTCAAAACAATGAACATAGTCTTACGACTCAGGATTGGTTGGGTTTATTTTTTTCTTTTCTTTTTTCTTCTTACTTTAGTATAACATTATCATTTGTTGTAAGGACGAAACAATTCCCATACGAAACAATTATCTGTGGGTCACACAAATAATTGTCCCGTGGGCATCGAACCCACGAGCACCGACGCCGACGCCAATACATTGGAAACTACGCCGCGGAGTCTTCATTCCGTCATTGGTTGGGTAGGTCTTGTATGTTGTTTAGGTGGTGCTTTAGAGTTTTTCTCACCACCGAAGGCGGTAAGACGGTGCAGCGGAACTGGTTTAGCTGGCGAACGATGATCGCACATCTCATAGCGCACTCGGCGGTCGCGGAGTGCGGACGTGTGCACTCGTTGCCGTCGACGGAGCCGCGTCTCGTGCTTTTAATTAATTAGTGAGTGAGAGTTTTTGTGACGAGCCAAGCGGCGCGGAACCGCGGCGTTCGCGGATTTCGACCGTACACCGACTTTGGTGAGTAACGGAGGTATTACTGTAATTACTCCGCTAGCGTCTACATACTGTTACAGTTCTATTATTTTTACTCGGCTTTCTCGCAACGAAATTGTTCTGGAGTCGGAGAAATTATTGTCTTTTATATCAGTTCTATGTCGTTATGCACACTCCCGTCTCGTAATATTAGTTATAGTTTTAATTATATTGGAATCGTTAGTTGGCATTACTCTCTTCTTTAAATAACAACACGCGATATGGAACAAAGTTGCGGCCTTTTCAACACTATTATTTTTTAAGATATTTACTAATCCAATCATTCATTATTATAAGTCTATCATATGTTAAGTTAAAATATGTGTCACAGTATGAAGTACTATCGTGTTTTATCTTTTATTTTCTCATCTTCTTTAAATATTAAATTGATTGTCATTCTTGAAATCGGCCGGTAATGACTAAGTTTACATAACACTACATAAGTTTAATTACTGGAATCTAATTAAACAAACAAAGACTCGAAATTATTCTTAAATCTTAATACAAAAAAATAACAACTATGCTCTTTAATTGCTTATATCTTTCGCGTTGTTACTTAAGCTCGAGTTAACGTTAATTAGATGCTGAGAGTTCTATCCGATCGTTTAGCATTTTTTTAAATGCCCAGTGAAAGTGTAGCGGTCTCGAAACAATACCGCGATAAAATTTCTCGCGAATTTGAAAATCTCACGAGAATTAACATAAGTAATTTCATGCGTATCACACGTTAGACTATTCTCGTTCTTGCACTCCTGATAGGATTTTGCTGTAATCTTGTAAACATTTATATCGAAAAGCAAGTCAAACATACTACTTGTTTATTAATACATCATGTTAATCACGAGAAGTATCTTAAAGCATATCTTCAAGCACTATTTATATTTCATCACTATAAATGTATCAGTAAAAAATCCTGACTATGGTTTCCTTTGATTAAATTCGATGAGCATAAAAGGTTATATCGAATGCAACTATTAACACTTTCTATTGAATAGATCCTATATATAAATTGGATGAATCTAATCGATTTAGTTTTTACGATGTTAACCCGATCTAATCTTATATACACATTACGATTATAATGATTATGAGATCTTTACTCGCCTTTTGAGGAAGGAATGTGTGATATTCTATATTTTCAAAATCTATGTAATTGACGGTGGTAGGGCCACGCAGCAGCCTCGGCTGTTGCACGAATGGGCAGGCCCGTCCGGGTAAGTACCACGACCTCACAGAAGACCGGCGTAAAGTGGAAGTATGACAAATACTTTCGCGTTTCGTCTGGTGAGTGAGGTAGCCGGAGCCCAATTTTCAAAAGGTTGTCAACGCATCTGTAACCCTCGAGTGTACAGATGTCCATCGGCGGCGGTATTCACTTAACATCAGGTGAACCGTCTGCTCGTTTGACAACTTTTCGCATAAAAAAAAATGTACTTCTTTGTATTAAACTTTTCTTCGTATATTGATTCTTTACACTAATATATTACTTACTAGCATACGTCTATAATTCTAAGTAACGTCGTCATCGGATTACGAGATTTTTCGTAGTTGTAATCCTTTGTTTATCGTGATAACATTGTCAGTTATTATCGGCTGCTCGTTATGTGCGTGGCAGGTAAGCGACAGGTTGCCATTGTTCCCGACGCCCTGTTCCCGGAAACAGCTCTATGCCAGCTGTGAAATCGATTCTTCCGGTTACCTGCCGACGATACCCTGAATGTCCAAATAAAAAATGTGCACAAGGTGTACGCATAAATAATTGTTTTACAAGTTAAGAGGAATTTGAATATGGAACAAACTAAAATGCTTTAATACCGTAACTCTCTGACGTTATTCATATTTCAAACATCTTCATATTTCAAAATCGAGCTAGTTATACCCCGTGCCTAGCTCTCAAAATAAAGTAAATCTTTATTTTCTTATACCAAAATTTACATATACAACGGTATATACAATATTTGAAATATCTTTTCCGATAGATAGAGGAATTAACAACAATTACAAGAATACAGTTGTGTTCACTGTGCAGATATACCTTAAAATAGTGTTCAATAAAAGGCATAACTAAAAAAACGGCTCTAATAATAATCACAAAGGCGGCTTTTAGTGTCTAATTGTTACAGGTTTACTGACCCCACCATTATTTCGACACCTCGTATGAACGGATGAAATAGCGGTCTCGACCGGGACTAATCAAATTGCATCATTTAACGTGGGAACAGATTAGACACCCCGCATGTTCGCATCGTTACTAGATTTGATGTAAAAAAATATTGGCCATAATAATAACTTACGTACTTAATTTGTTTCTGAGAGAAGGACGAGCATCATGCACCTTATGAAGCAATGACCGCCTTAAATGTACATATACGACACTTAGTTACAGTGGCCTTCATCATCATCATCATCATCATTTCAGCCTGTTTGAGTCCACTGCTGAACAAAGGCCTCTCCCACAGACTGCCATGAAGTACGATCCTGAGCCACCTGCATCCATCGACTTCCCGCAAAAAAATTAAAAAGCTAGAAACCCCGAGTTACGCAATGTCAGAAGGGTTTGACAAAGTAAAGAAAAAGTAAAGTTCTTTAACTTTCCTCCTCTGTACAGACGGTTTTTGGGAATAGTAATTCTCATATCTTTGAAACAGTTTATTATGTTATTATTTCGATAATATGCATCCCTACTATGTTTTCCTTCGCCGCAGAGTACGTGATATATCTAGTTGCAATAAAAAATGCATTAATGACGGCAATGCGACTAAATTAAATACAACATAATAGGAAAAGTCCGGTATAGATTGTACTGCAACTATATGTTTTGTCTTAATCATCATCATCCTACCCTTATCGCACCCAGGTGGGGTCGACGCTAAAGCCAATAGCTTAGAAATGGCGCCACCAAGTCAATTATGAATGAATTATACTTTATTTCACAAAAAAAATTAAATTAACAAAGATCAAAAACATATTACAGCGTGTCTTTACAATCGCGACAATAAATGAACACACATATAGGGGATAACTTTTTAAAATTGTATTAAACATTTACTTTTAATTTGTATAGTGCATTTAGGATGACACATTAAATTTGTAGAAAAAGGGGCGAAAAGTTTTTGGCAATCGAACCCATATCTTCTGGATTCGCGCCCAGTGAATACGTCGTAGTATTTTTTCTAAAATTTTTTATTTTATGTGATCACTTGATTGAATCGAAGTAATGAAAATATATAAATTTGGATAGTGAATCGCTGACCGAAAAACCGGTATATTTATGCAATTACTATGGTATCTTTTATTGTTCATAAGTCTACGAAATAAGTCTGAATTGAATAAAATATTTCACCGAATTTCATATCTCAATCAAATTTTAGGGTTTAGGTAAAAGTTAATGCGTTTATCCTATAATGCCTCCAGCAATTACCATCCGTCAGTTTGCGATAAAAATAAGTGTTTTCAAAACAGAAGTGATAAGGCATTAATAATTCATACCGACGTCTAATTGATAACCGCGAGTAACGCCTCCGACTATAATGCGTAATTGATCGATTGAGGTGAGAGCAGGTTTTTATCTCGCTGAGCCGCGCACGAAACGCGATACGCCTTGGTGGTTCCGTAGGGTGTTTTTATTTAATACAGTTACGAGTTAATAGCATTTCATCCAGGTGTAACATTAGGATTTTATAATTTACTAGCGGACCGGATAGACGTTGTCCTGTACACACGACGTAAATTCTACAACTTAGAAATTAAAAAAAAAGTGGACCTAATTGTGAATCTAAAACTTTCTTGACCTGAAGACACACAAAAAATGTCATTAAAATCCGTCCAGCCGTTTAGGAGGAGTTCAGTGCCATTCACAGGTACAGAAGAATTATATATATAAAGAATAGTACCTGGAGGACCGAGCTTTGCTCGGTTTGTTTTTTTTTTCGTAAATCGTCGTATTTTGGAAATTACATTTAGATACAAATTACTAAGTAATGAAATATGCATAGTATGTTTCGATCTTACCGTCGTAATAATAAGAAAAATGAACTGGTTTTTCACAAAAGAAAGAACTTTAAAAAAAAAGGGAAAAAAATAACAAAATAAGAAATCGACAAAAAATAAAAGATAAAGAAAGAAATGATCTGGAATCGAAAAAAAAGTAAAAAAAAATAAGGCGGCCTTCTGTTTCGTGGCTGTTTGTTAGTGGCCGCCCGATTACCGACCGAGCCATTATAATATTTTTTATTTCGGTGAAATTTACCGTCGTATTCGAATGATATTTTTCATTCCCTAAAAACAGGGATAAAAGGACATTTTCTAAAAATAAAATCTAGCTAGATCGATTTTTTGCCCCCGAATCTACGCACATACTAAATTTCATGAAAATCGCTGGAGCCATTTCCGAGATTCCAATTATATATACAAGAATTGCTCGTTTAAAGGATAAGAGATAATATCTGTATCTAATCATTGAATCATTTCCATCCATTTGCATCCAAAGGTTGCCCGTGGATTTATATATTACATACGTATACAATAATCTCTTTATAAATTCCCTCTGAACAAGGGTGAATATTTAGGTAGGTTAAGGTGAGGCTAGTTGGGCAAATTTTCACTGATTCAGACAGCTCCTCAATGAAAAGCCCAAATTGTTTACTATATATTTGCTACAGCCGTTTAAGTGAAGAAAGTCATATAGCACTAACTGTCAGAACTTCTAGCCAAACCATAGCATACATGTTCAATTGATATGAAATAAAATCACTCTTATACAATTAACCTTTAATTTATAATTTGTTGGTGGCAAACAATCTTTAAAATACGGAGCATAACACTTAAACCAACAAATACTCTATTTATCTTTAGTTTAATTTTTGACTTCATACAATTTTTGTATTTCTACTTTAATAAGGGATGTCCATATATTTCGGAATTTCGTTATAAGTAAGACATTCTTTTCCGCAGTCCAAAATTCTGTGTCTAGTTTTTTCTGCCATATGTTATCAGTTAACGGGTAATTTGTAGTTTCTGAGATATTTATAAATTTCCTTATGTTTAACTAGCACCGCCTGGCATATGTAAATAAATGCATGATACGAGCCATTTCGGTTAATTTTGACTACATAGGTTTAAAATAATACTAAGTAAATATTTTGCTCCTTCCTTTGCATATATGGCATATCACCATATCTTCATAAAGAAATTTGGTTACCTACGAAATATGTTTTATTTGTAACAATCTATCCGACCCCTATTACTCCGTAAACAAACAAAATGGCGCCGCTTTTTTATTTATAGCATTCCAATTGGATTGTTATACACTTTGACTTTGGTCATTATTGTCTCACTCACTATTTGTACCGTTTCGAATCCGAGATAGGTTAATTATTGTGAATAATGTAATAGACACCAACTGGTTGCAGTAACGACAGTTGATCCACTATTTCGGATTTCGTTGTCGGCCGTTAAATTATTTAATCGTTTTGTAATTGTGCCACTAAATCATTATGCTTATTATATAAATTACGAGTATCATTACGTTGCAATTAGCCTTTGATTTGTTGTGCCACTTTTGGCTGGACTTTCTGTCGAAACTGTGTACATAAATTTTAAATTAGCCGTTGGCTATTTTTCACTTAGTAACTTTAACGTGTATCCAAGGGCGGATCCAGCTTTTGGTGCGGGGGGGGGGGGGGGGGGGGGGGGGGGGGGGGGGGGGGGGGGGGGGGGGGGGGGGGGGGGGGGGGTCACGTAGTCGTGGTCAAGTGATAAGAAGTTATAATTAAATTTTTATAATCATAGATACAAGTAAAAAGTAGGTACTTATTTTTAACCGACTTCAAAAAGAAGGAGGTTATCAATTCGGATGTTTATAATTTTGTATGTAGGTATGTTCGGGCATACCTTCGTCAGATATAGACGGATTTGCAAAATTCTTTTTTGTTCGTAACATTTCGTTACTTTTTATTAACATATTTTATACAAGGTGGCTTTTATAAAGGTGCCCAAATTCACACAGGAGGTTCAGACTCGGTAGTATAATCATTAATTGAAAAAAAAAACAAACTTTTTTTTTTTAAATTGAGAATACCAATTTAAAAAAAAAAAAGTTTGTTTTTTTTTCCCTAACAACAAACTTGTCGACAATGAGGTAGTCATTCATAAATGCGTCGTATACTTTTGAAACGAACTTGTGTGCTTGTTAGTTATGAATGATCGCGCGTAAAATAAATGAGTTGCCCATAAATCACTCACTTTCTGAGATAAGTTCAAATGAATGTAATTAATTAATTACGAGTGATTTCAAATATTTATCATTATTTATATAAAATTATTTATGTTTAGAATTTGATTAAAAAAATGGATACACTTAGAAAAGCCTCCCTGTATAGTATTTTTTTAAGTAGCTATTGGTAGGCTTACTTATTTTTGCAATTTATTTTATTTATTTCTTCGTTACCAGATTTTGTGTAGTCGTATTGGTTATAATATTCTCTATTCCTCTACTCCGCACGCTGGCTCCACTTCAATGACAAGTAGCCTAAGACGGGACTATCGGGACACGGTTTAATAGTAATATATAATCAACCCAAATGAAAACTCCTAAAATAACCGTACACAAAATAAAATTACATCGTCCACATTAAAATTTCATAAATAACAAAAAAAATATTTATTCATTCATTCAT